GTTGAAGAAATGATCGAATAAATAGTTTGAAATATTTTATGAATAATAAAAAAATATTTATTCTTAGATTAAAATTACTTAAAGTTGATATACACTTAACCAAATAATTGAGTTTCATGATGAGATATATTTTCTGAAACTTTTCAAACTAGTTTGTCAAGAATATATGTGGCTACAAGACAACATCTTCAGTTCTCAAAAATAAAATATAAAACATTTATGTAAAATGAGTTTTATGTTTGAAAAGAGATTCATAGAGTATGTTGAACAATAAAAGCAAAACAAGAGAATTACAGACAAAATACAAAGTTATTTTATAATAATTTATTAAATAAATGTAATCATAGATATTCAACTTAAATAATAATACACATAAGAAAATGAATCGACATTGTTTTATTTAAAAAATGAATATATGTGAGATATAGACAATTCATTATTAGAAAAAATATTAACATGTATACATATATGATTGAATAAAGATTTATTAATACTTTCAACAAGAACGAATTTAATATCCAAATAACAAGTTATATCTACTATAGGAAACTTATTAAAATTTCTTCTATTTCTTGATAAGTTTTCTGTTGAAATTTTTCAACATATTTTATTATCATTTCATAATTCATCTACTAAATTTAATTCAATTGCTAAACATACAAAATCGATTCTTCTACTTCTCTATTAAAAATTCTTATTGATTTTATATATTAAATTATTTAACCAGAACATATCACATATTACTTATACTCTTAAGATCATCATATTCAATCTTAATATTACGTTTTTTTCCTTCTATCGATATTCACATCGGCTAATAAATATTTGTTTTTCAATATTAAAAATCTCAAGAAATGTCGTTTTCATAGAATCTTTCATCATGTTAGTATTGATAACATTTGAAGTTTATTTTAAATCATATATGAATAATAATATTATTTTTGATTTTTCAATTATTATTGTTTTACTAAATTTTAATAAATAAATATATTTGATTTGTTTATCTTTTTTAATTTAAACAATTAAATTGATTTATATCGAATATGGATGATTATTACGATATTTAATCATTACAAACATTTAATATTCACACATATTTTATTATGTTCAAGATGATGAGAAATGGTTTTATCATGTAAAATGTTTTGTTTTGATTATAAAATAGATCATGAATTTCAATCATCACAGATATTTAGTATCATCATGTTTCTAGAGCTTTTTATACTAATTTTTTTCAAAGAGAAAAGATCAAACTTCTATTATGTATCGATGCTAATATATATATACAATACTTTCGTCTTTGCAATTAAATTTAATCATATTTTACTTCTTTATTTCTATAGTTTTTCTTTTTCATATCAAATATATAGTTAGAAGAATTAATAAATCGATAAAAGAGAAATTAAAGGTGATGTTACAATCTTATCGAAGGTTGAAGAAAAAAATGATGTTTGAAAGAATGGAAGTGATAGTTCATTGATTTAAAGATAAAACACGAGTATTTATACGATGAGCAGTGGTTATTTGTTCGATTATTTTCGCCTTCGAAATACAATATATTCTGAGGGTATGGGTCTGGGTGTGGGTAAAAGTATTATGCATCCACATCCAGCCGACATCTTCAAGAACTTCTTCTTAATAAAAAAACATCTCACTGTAAAAGAAAAAAATAATTCTTCGTAATAAAAACTATTTCTATTTGGAAAAAATATTATACTTCGAAGTAAAATGTGTGTGTGCAACAATAAGAATGATATATGTCTATTTCGTTCTTTCATGCCATATTTCTTCTTAATATGTATTACTTTTGAAAAGATGACAATATCGCTTACTGGCACTTTCATTTTCTTTTTTTTTCTTAAATACACATACATCTCCAGGATGGCTTTTGAAAATTTATGTTTTTGAACATTGAATATCGTTAGACAGGTGGATCTTTCAGAAATAAAGGATGTTGATTAGTTATATATGCGATAAAAATATCAGTTCTCTAGGCCAAGTAAAAGTATGAAGAACATCAATAACAAAATATCCTCAGTTATTATGAAATATCCTTTATTGACTTTTGAATCTAGACTTTTCTAGATATTGAATGACATGATATAGTTATAATTTTTATGATATGAATAGAGCATACCTCGAGGTATCTTTAGAAATGAAAATCAAAAAAAAATAGTCGCTTGGAAAAAGATATCTCGATACAGAAAAATTAAAACCTTGAAAATAAAGTCAAAGTGATACATTTAGATTTTACGTACTTTCCTTTTAATGAAAAATATACATGATCATGCTGAGTACTTTGATTATTTTAAAAGTAAACTAGCAAAGCATATATAATTCAACATGTAATATATTATTGACGTAAAAACTAATTATTTATTCAAAAGGTTTTGGAATAAAACAGAATAAAACCAGTATACTTAAAAACAAATTCAAATTCAAGGAGACATATTTAAAAGAAAATTACATTGCATGGTGCTAATTGAAAACTAACAATTATTACATGAGATTTAAGCGATAGTTAAAGTAATGATTGTAATATGACTTATACAGGGGCGGCGGAGCGTCATTAACCTAAGTGAGGCTCACAATATTTTTTTCTACTGTGAACTTTTATCAAAACATGAAGCAAAATATAAGTCTTCTTTTTATTAGACCTCAATAAAAACTACAACGGTCATCGTGAAAATAAAACAAATCAGAACGTACCAAAAAATAACTTTCTCTGTTCGTTCTTGGATGCGAAAGTTGAACAGAGACTTTTCTTTGTATGTGTGTCAAAAAGAAAAATGGATGAATTCTTGGACGTTTTTCAGCCATTAAATACGATGTGAAGAGGATATAAATCAATCCGATCACTACTGAGCTACTTCTTTATTCCCACAATAATATATATATATACGTGTATGTGTATATGCGCTTGAAAAAAACAAATGTTCTGGGAATAAAACATATATAGACGAAATGAGGAAAAATTAATCATGCGGACAAGAAAAAATGTAAGAAAAGAGGAAAAATACTTCAGTATCATATAGACAAGGGAAATATCCAAGTAAAAGAAAAGAAACATACAGGATATATATATATATATATATATAAGCTGTATGTGATATCTATGCGGTAAAAGAATAGACGAAAGAAAAACATATAAAAAATAGGTGAACCGCATTAAAAGGTAGATATAAGATATGTCAGAATATATATCTAGTTATGTTAGATGCAGAACATAACAAATTTTAATAATAAAAGATAATATTCAATCCGAAAATAAGTGAGGCTGAGCCTCCACGACTGAAATCCAAGTGAGGCCTAAGCCTCTTGAGCCTCCACGCTCCGCCGCCACTGGACTTATAGTAGTTACAGAAATCTAAAATAGGAAATTAGAAGTTTAGAAATTCTTTGATAAACAGTAGTATCTAACTGAAAAAACTCTGATTTGTAATAATAAACAAGATTTTCATTAATACTTTTTCTCAGTCGGGAATTGATGAAGACCATATATGAAACAGCTTGTTTCTTTTTGTAATTATTTACGTTATAAAAACGTTTTTAATCTTTTTGTGCAGTTTAGAAATGGATGATTCTTTCTTGCAGTCATCCATTTATATATGAATATCTTACATGAGCTATGATTCCATGTGAATTATTCATATTATGCAACTGCAAGGCTCTATATGGATTCATAATGTCCTTTTATACATTAAGTCAACATCACAACATCGAATATTCTTAGAAATTTCTCGATTACATGTAAACAACTTCAGTTTTCACTTGAAAAACTCGATTTAATAACTTTTTTTTCTATTATATAAATTGTCATCAAACTAAATTATTTTATTATTATTATTATTTGTGTTTAAAATATTTTGCTCACTTTTCTATTCACCCAAGCGCTCTTTTTTTGAGCGGGTAGAAATTGTGGACGGCACAACTAAATATTTTTATTTCTCATACGTCATTTTAGTAATAATTGAATTTGTAGTTGTCAGGTATTTTTTTTTTGTATATTTTTTCTTTATATAATTACTTCTCATTGTTTTGTATGAAAAGTGAATGAACACTACTATTGACATTTTTCATACTTTTTTCATAGATCCAACTTTGACCAACAGGAAAAATGTTGGAAACAGAAATAAGAATGTGAAAGAGGCTTCAGCTCCCACATACTATTATTTTCGATAAATGTATTTTTCTACATTTTTACTTACGGTCAAAGTTTCGAAAATCCATAGAAAAATTTCTAGTAAGTCGTTATATCCAAAATTTGACGGTTAAGAACAGATACGATAATACTAATGCTTAAGTTAGAATCTTCTACGACCAGGATAAAGTATTTGTAGGGACAATAGATATTGAATATTCTTTCAGAAAACCATCTTGAGGGTGTGGGTGTGGGTGTGTGTGAGTCTCTTCATCGCCCGCAGCCACCCACCCACAGCCTCAGTTGAAAAATACGATTCAATATTTGTTTGATTTTTGAATGTATCTTTGTCTTGTAGCATGTTTCCTCTTACAATGAATTAAAGCAAGCCTTAAGGCTGTTCTGAATCGTAGTGCTCGAAGTCAACCTTATTGTACGACTATATTTAAAGAGAATGGATTCTTGAATAATAATTGTAGTACTGAGTTTTACAATGATGATTTGGAAGCGTCTTTATGTATCGCTCGGCAAGTTTAACTTGTACGAAACCGATAACTCTTTAACAGTCAATGATCAATTATTATCAACTCGATTGTTCATTATTCTTCTGAATATCTCAGTTGTCATTGTCACCTTGTTTGCTACGTTGAACCTACAGACACACGTCGTAACCGTCACATCACCTTCGCTCAATCAATTTGAACATCTGAGCAATGAGTATCCAAATACTCTCGTTTGTCGTTGCTCACAAACCAATATTCGCTATAATCAGTTTATGTTATTCGATCCACGTTATCATCAAGTGTGTTTAAGCCAATTTATCTCTCAACAATTCATTTCAACAGTATTCAACATCAATATGACTCGATTTCATCCGTTAGATTTTCGTCTGATGGCCATGTCCCAGTTTCAGATTCTGACATTGTTATGCCAAACAGCAGCATGGACTATTGGTAGTGATCTCAATCAATTTCTGACTGAACAACTGGCTACCAGTCAAGCTCTATCACGTGAGATATTCGAGGCTCAAGTTGTAGCACTTGTCGAACAAATGCAAACCACAACAGTAGCAAATGTGAAATACACCGATCAGCTGGTGTCCGAGGTTATTCTCAACAGTGGAATTATGTCAGCCTTGAATACCAACTATTACCTCTCCTATAATCCATTAGTGTCGACTTATAACATTATACACGGAAACTATCCAGTTGGAAATTATATTATCAGCAACGCCTCGATTCTGGATAATATCTATTGCGGTTGCCAATACCAGTCAAACTGTACTTTTCAAGCTGGTTTCTACAATTATTCCATTCGTCCTGCACACGGTGAATTTAACATATATACGCCCTCGCCACCACCTATATTTATCGTACCAGGTATGTTGGTTGGATGCTTGCCTCGTGATTCAATGCTTCAGTCGACACTGGAATGTTTTTACAATCGTTCATGTCTCGATCTCATTGGTGTCTCACAAGCGATCATCCCCCTCAATGCGACTGTTCCATCTCGCTTTCGAGTCAATACAACCGTAAATACGATGTTCGAACAACTCTTCATTGAAACGTGGCAAAACTCGAGTAATTTCACTAGTTACTACAATGCATGCCATCCGAAAACATGTTCTTACACCAATACACAACGTGGTAATTTTCTTTATGCACTGACGATTCTCGTCAGCCTCATTGGTGGTCTTACAACAATACTCGGTATTTTCGTTCCTCTTCTCGTACAATTCTTTCGTCATTTACTAGTTAAATGCCGAGGTGATACAATTCATACAATCGACAATGATCCTGCAAGTAGGCGGTTTTTTTTACTTTCCCTGTTTTATTTTATTCTCACGAAATGATACTAAGGAATTGTCTGATTTACTGTATCTATAAACAAGAAACTGAGAATGTGGAATTATCTAAAAGATGAACTGTTGTTTGTTCAGATATTGATTTTTTGTGCAAATGCCAGCAGATGATAATTGTTTGAATTGTTTTAGTGCCAAGCATCGGAGAACGCCTTCTGACCCTCGTTCGTCGAATTCGTCAACTAATCAGTACATTTAATATGTTCGAAACTTCCTTTTCTACCGTGAATCTGGGAATTCAAACAACGCGTCTCTATATTTTTCTCACATTTATGGGTGCATTCATTCTCTTCAGTTATTCAATGTTGAGTGTAACTACGATAAGTGTTACCATACAACAGCCTTCTTTGGATACCTTCGAAAAACTGTACTCTCGATATTCATCGACACTCGTATGTCCTTGCACTGGTCTCGTGTTAACCTATAACGAGATAATGAATGTTACGCCTCATTTTCATCAACTCTGCTCAAGTGATTTTGTCCGAGATGATCGCTGGTTACTCTATTTCCACACGATACTATTCTACATACAAAATGTTTCGAGCAGTTTCACGTTCGATATTAGTGATTTTCGTTCTGCTCCCGGTTCAAGTCTGTTTAATTTAATGAAAACTCTGTGTATCACAGCCAACTCAACTGTTATCAATGCCGCAACTGTTTTCGGCGCCACAAAACTTGTGAATGTGTATCCGATGTCACATGTATTATTCGAAAATAAGACGACCGAACTGGCATCACAGTTTCAACAAGAAACACAAGCTTCTTTCCAGATTCTATTCTCTCAACTAGCCAGGGCAATTCGAGATAATCAATTCTACAACTCCGGAACTAATGCAGCTGGTACAGTCGTCACGACCGATCATGCAAAAGTTTGGTTGAGTATGAAAAACATAAATCCTTCTGGATCTAACTGCTCATGCGCTATGTCCAGCAATTGTACTCGACCGCTAGGATTCTATTGCAGCGCTAACTCATGCCATAATTTGAACGCACAACCGAACATCACTGTACCAGGTATGTATGGAAGCTGTACATCCATAGACTCGTTACTATTCTCAACACTTACCTGTCTCTTCAACCAGTCATGTATTCAACTTCTGCTCGATTGGCGCTCATTCGACAGACATGGTATGCTGGTCCCGCTCGATCCTCGTGGAGCCAACACTACAGCACTTGATCCAGATTTACCCAGTAGATTTTTACCCAACTCCACATTTGAACCACTAGTATCGAATATGTTTATCGAAAACTGGACATTATCCAATAATTATAGCACCTACTATACAACCTGCAATCCTGATAGTTGCACATACACATACGACCAACGATATGCTTTTGTTGCTGCCATTACAGTTCTCATCGGCTTATTAGGTGGGCTCAGTGTTGCACTAAAGTTGATTCTGCCACCTTGTGTAAAACTGGTTGTGGGTATTTTTCATCGTTGCAAAGGCGTCGATAGATTAGGTAAGTTTATACATTTATTATCTATACACTTCAATCTGTATCTCGATGTATCAGAAGTGAAACTGATGTTTTTTTTAGACTCTTATTCTTGGAATAATGGTAATTATCGTCATCTTGTTAATTTTGAGAATAACAGTAGTTTTCATCTTCGATTGTTACCGATCTTTAATATTGATCCATACGAGTGTAGTGAATATAAATCTATTTTCCTAGAAATGAGCTATCTCTGCAATAGTTGAAAAGATACAAGTATTTGTTCGATTTTACCACAGAAGATCTTGCGTTGTGCATTAGTAAACGGCAGAAAATATGGTCTAGACTTCTTCTATTATATAGTTTAGTAATTAAGATCAGTTGTTTTGAGTTTCGATATAATCAATGGCTAACATTTGTGGCTTGTTTCACTATTACTGCATGACTAGAAAAAGTGTGTTCATGCTTCTAGCTATGAAATCCTTCCTAAGGACTAGTGCATGTTCACTCTGTTCTCTTTCAAACGTTTTTTTCTTGTAAAAATTCTGCATTCAAGAGCAGTTACAAATAGGAGAAATTGAATACAGCATATTCTATTCATGTTTACTAGAAGTATGTATGTAGAACAAATAGGCGAATGAATAACAATGATGTAATCGACTCTAGGTCTTATAAAAACTGGCGGCATCCCT